CATTGATTTTCTAGTAATGCTCGCAAGCTTTACGCGCGCTGCGTTTATGTGTCCAGGTGAAGGCAGCAAGAGAGACAATGAACCAGATGATAGAGACTTGGAAGCAAATTCCAGATCTGCTTGAGGAGATTTCAGTGCCGCCTGAATCAGAAGCTTCATCCATAGGTGTGATGTAAATTTTTTGTTTTTGGTGTGTTTGTGGTTATGATTCTTGGCTACTTATTTCAGATTTCAGCGTATGGATCATGATCTAAATGTTTACTTGTGTATCTTTTTCTGGGAATATAGATTAAGATCCGATCATGGTTTCTGTATGACTTGTACAGTTGATTGAGCTTCCAATCTCAAGTTTTCTGAATGATTTGTACAGTTGATTGTGCTTCCAATCTCAAGTTTTCTGTATGTTAGATTGTTCTAGTATATGCTACTATTTCCAATCATTCTCTTGATATCGTCAGTCTACTTTCACATAGATTTGTTCGGTTTAGATTGTATTTAGTTGATTGATTTGAGGTTAAGGATTCCGGCTTTATATTAACAAATGGTTCGCGTTTCAGGTTAGTTCGTGATATGATGAACTTGAAATCATATTATTGTGAACTTCAAAATTTATTCTATACCAAGTCACCTTAAATCTTTTTGCTCAAGCTCCTATCTGACACCAAATGTAGCGAAGAATTATAATTAGATGAACCATAACTCTTTTATTTGTTATTTCTAATCCGGGTACAGAAAATGCTAGCGATGGACGTTACCCTCCGCGCTCGACAATATCCTGCTCTGTTGGGTCCACCACTCCTCGTGTATGGAAAAAGGCCGTCTCAGACAACCCATATAAAAAGACACCAGTTTCTTATGGTTCAGCTGCTTCCACAGCCAGAAAAAGAACCCCTCTTGGAAATAACCAAAACAAAACTGGCCCAGCAATGTTCCGGAAGTTGGACCGAAACTCGAAAGTTGACAGTATCCCTCAAAGTGCTTCTTTGGGCAAGAAGATTTCAGATAACGGTCGTCCGAATGGTCAGGAAGAGAAAAAAGAAGTTGGAAAGACGGACATCAAACGAGCTATTCTCAATGGAAATGACCAAAAGAAGAGGCTTGGTCTGTTTAAAGCTGGCGCTCGAGTTACTCCATGTTGTGATGACAGTGTGGTCACTGATAATGGGACTGAGAATGGTCTCAGCCTCAGGAATCAAAAAGAGTGTGACGAGCTTACTATGATCCGTAAGCAGCTTCTTCGAATTGAAAGTAAGCAGTCCAATTTGATGGACCTTCTCCAGGTATTTGGCTTTCCTCTGCATCTTTGCAAGTATATTTCGATATGCTGTGTTACCTGTGTATGAATTGGTAAAATATTCTCAATTGGTTATCAATTGTTTTTAACAATGCTTCGTGACTGGTATAGTAAGATATAATTTCTATGTAGATTGAAGTAAGATGACTCTAGTGTTGAGTAGCATATTTTTTATTTCTGTTAGATTCTATACTTCATCTTTTTGTCTAACCTTCTGTGTTTTACGATGCTGCTGGCCACACTTGCTTGATTGCTTCTGTACTTTAAAGTTTAATGTACATATCCAAGTTAACCAGTGGCATTCTTCTTGTGATATTTTTTTGTAACTTCTATTGTAACATTTGGAACTTTGGGTAGCTACAAAAGCTACCCAAAGGATCGGCTTAGTTGCCGCAAGTCCCGTTTACCTTAAAAAATTATTGAAAGATAACCCGAGTTCTTTGTGATTAGATCAAGTCTCAGCGACTCTCTCTCTCTCTTCCCCCCTCTTTTTCTCTCTCTCTCTCTCTCAGTGTTTGACCGATTGCTTTGTGCCTCTTAAAAAAGGCACTCTTCTGACATCTGTTCTCGAAATTGGCATCTAGGGATTCATCGGGAGCTCACGAAATGGTATGCATTCCCTCGAGGCACGTGTCCATGGGCTCGAGCTTGCTCTGGATGAAATATCATTCGATTTAGCCGTCTCGACCGGGAGGATGTCCCGAATTAGTCCCTCCGGGGGATCCATGTGCTTCAAGCTACCAGGTACCGAGTACTTGAGCTCAAAGCTGTGGAAAAAAGCAGCTCCTCCTCCTCCTCCCTCAGCTTCTTGGGTACCCACACACTGGGGTAGAACCAGTGAAGGATTTCCAGTGGAAAATAGGGGGTTTTTGCTGCAAAGTGGGCGTGGGGTTATTGTGAACCCGTTGGCCAAACTGCCCAGTGGCTCTGTGAGATTTTCAGAAGTTTCCTCGAGCGGGGGTGTGAATAAAATTGCTGTTTGATAACGTGTGAAGTGCACATGCCTTTGCTTGAGTAAGTTTTCGGGTTCAGCGTTCTTAGGTTCAACTCAATTACAAAATCATCCAACTCAATTAAAAAAACCTTTTTCTTTTTTTTGGATATAATCTTTGCATAAAAATTCGGCTGACTGTAAAAATTCGATTCATCTCAAGGCATCATCGGACGATCTTTGCTTTTGAGTTCAACCAACTTTCGTCTCTCACTCTCATGTTCTCATAGTGGAGTTATTGCAGTTCTCGTTTGGAACCTTGTTAACAAATAGCACTCCAAACTTACACTTCACATGTTTCTGATCTTGTTTTATATCCTTTTCTGCACAGGTTTCGATCTCGATTCTTAAATCGATGGCGACTATGCAAAGTATAAACAGTTTAACTTACAATGCCTAGTTTGATTCGACTATAAAAGTACACTTGTGTGCCAACTTCTACATGCCAACTACCTTTCGTTATCCAGGTTCGGCCAAGAAATTTAGCGTTTGCTTGTCAAGGTACATAATTGGCAAGCAAACCTAGAAAAAAAGTCGAAAAAACCAAGACATCATCGTTGGTCGAGAAAAGAACGGGTCAGCTTATGTACTAGACCCTAGGTAGAGTTT